AAAGATCGAAAAAATCGATTTCTTCTTTCGATCTTTTCGAGCTTAATAAAAATAGGTTTTTAAATTTTGTAATTGTATTGACATCGAAAAAACAAAACAAACATCGATCCCTACAATAACGTCACTATTTTCAGTTCCGATATCTTCGAATACAGCAACATTTGAAGGTTTTGGCTACCTCCCTCCATCTGTGCTGATTTCTCCTTACCGCCACGACAATTTTTAATTGAATTGAATATTATAAAGGAAAGAATTTCTTGGGGTACCAACATAAACCCGAGGGGGACGACTCTATCTACGATGCAGGAAAGATTGTGTTTTGCTGTGGCTAGCTGTGTGCACGCTGAGTAGATAGAAAGAAGATTGACGATGATTCTGAAGATTTCCTGCAAAAATATGATGCGCGATGAGTGTAGGTAAAATATCAAAAAATCAAATCTCACCAACGCTCAAGATCACGCTTGATTTTCGTAGACAGAAATCAACAAGCAAGCAACTGCGGTTGATTTTGCAAGCTGTGATATCCCAGCTCGGAATATCAAGCTAACAAAACTCACCAACTGCAAATCTCACCAAACTGTGGTGAGATTGAGTTTGATGATTTTTGCTTTACACCCGAATGCAGCCGAAACTTCCATAACGGTTTGCAGCAGTCCCTTTGCGTCTGCCATCGGTGAAGATTAAAGAGAGATAGCAAACGATGCTTTCTCTTTCTAAGAAAACGATGTGCAATGGAATCATTTTTATGTCGAGTCAACTCTCAGCTTGATTTTTGCACGTTGTGAATAGTCTCGCAATATCAAAGAAGCTTGTAAAATCAATATCAAGCATGATATTTTGTTCCAATATCACGCATGATATTGCGAGCGCATGAGAGCGGAAAAATATCAATTGATTTCTGATTTTGCCAACACTGTGCGCGATGCAAGTAGATGTAAGAAAGGAAAGAAGATTGTTCGAAGATTGATTCGCTAGTGGGAGATTTGTTGAGCATCTATACTTGAGATTTAGAAGTGTCGCCCCCCTCGCGTAAACCAGCGTATAGTCCATTCTATATGTAAGAGTATTGATGGACCGAAAGTGAGGATAACAATAAGAAAAACTTGGCTAAAGCGAAAGTGAGGATAGCATACTAAGCACTTGAAAATGGGATTACACAAGTGTGCAAGTTATAAACGTCAAGAAAGGTCAATAAAAATAAAAACCATAAGGTCGATCTACCAACAATCGATTCTTTGGTACCGATTTAATCAGTGGATCGATTCTAGAGCCAAATATAAGATCGATCCGTCAAGATCGATTTTTCTCTGAAGATAGCCCAATCCTAGATTTCCTTATGGTTGAATTCGCCATCAACTGATGAGCATCAATATGACTGTCCTCTAAATAAAGGATGGTATTTATTTGAACATTGGCTGTAAACTAAACAGTGCTCAGAGGACAATAATATAAGGATAGGATGACTTGCAAATGCTTTAAATTAGATTATTAATTCGATTGTTTACATTTCCATATTGAATAGCCACGATCGCCTCACTTCCACCAGATCACTATTTTATTTTTACGGATAGTCTCAGTTCTGTCAAGGCTATTCGCTCTATGAGGCTGGTAAAGCACTCCTCGTATTTTCTCATGAAAATACGAGAGCTTCTAAGTGCTTTATCTTTAAGATCTTTTGCCATCACCTTTGCATGGGTCCCATCTCATTGCTCGATTCCGGGCAATGAGATGGCGGACTCACTTGCTAAGGTGGCCATAGCGGAACGCGATATTTACGATCGACAAATAGCCTACGATGAATTTTTCTTAATTTATCGTCAACAGTCACTCGTCAGCTGGCAGAATAAATGGAGCGAAGGAAGTTTGGGACGATGGCTAAATTCGATCATCCCTAAGGTGTCGAAGAGTCCTTGGTTCAAGGGGTTGGATGTGAGTCGAGACATCATTCGTATGATGTCTCGCCTCATGTCCAATCACTACTCGTTAAACGCTCACTTGTTCCGTGTTGGGCTCGGGGACAGCAATCTCTGTGAATGTGGACAAGGTTACTAGGACGCTGAACACATCCTTTGGTATAGTGCGGAGTATCGTGGAGTCAGATCACATTTTTATGATTCCCTTCGGGCTCGAGGTAGACAACCTAATGTTCCAGTTCGGGATAATTTGGGTAGACGCGATCTGGAGTTTATAAAACTTATATATGTTTTGTGTTTAGTTTTTGTTTTGTTCGTGTGGGTTTTTTTAATGATTGTTTCTGTAATAATTGTATAATTACACTGTGGATACCAAATTGAATAGGAATAAGTTCATGTTTTAGGAATAATGAAATATTTGTATCGTAAATCATAACTCAAACCTCCTCCTCTCTCTCCCCATCCATAAAACTGTACATCTCTACTAACCTCGAGACGACCGCGAGTAATCGGTTCAGTTCCTTTAACTCTAGATTTAAGACATCAATTATGTATAACGCAAATGATAACTTGGCTCTGTAAAGTTTATTCGATTGAGCCTGTACAAATAAACTTAATAATAAAAACATATTGAATAGCCATCAACAGCCATTCATCATCGATATAAAAATTACTTGTTGGAAGAGGAAACTTTCTCCACCACGAAATAGACAATCTTCGGTTTCCACGCTTTATAAATGTTCGTACAACCTCTGATAGCGATGGCTATGCTTCCACCTCCTTTGTCTGCTCAGAGCACCAAATGACGTTCGATATAATTATTTACATCATCGTTTTGAATGATTTGCGTAAAGGGGCTGAACCAAATGCATTTCAATTTAAGATCACTATCATTCTGCAGAGAGCATTACGCATTCCAACTGAAGGCCCTATCCCTTCTCATAACAATGTTCATCCTGTATTCGTGAGGAAAATGATCTAATTTCAAAACAACCGTCATCCGGTTGTAGTTATCATTCGAAGAGGCTATTTCGATTTTTCGATTTCAATAATCTGAGGTTTCATGCGAACAGAGGACGGTGGTTTGGTATAGTGTAGGTTTTGTACGAAAAATCAAAAATTAATTCGAAGCTCACTAAATACGCGTCAATCAGGTTTTACCCTACTACTTGGATGAAAGTTTCAATACATTATCAATGGTAAATTTGCATCGATTATGTATTGGGGCGGGGCTTACCGTGTGTGCATTCATGAAATGGGCTATTGCACTCTTCCAGGTCCCGGATTCAAGCTTCTTGCAGACATAAGATGGCAGGGAGATTTTATCCATAACGCCACTACCAGATAGTGGAAGTTTGATTGTAAGTACATACATACATACATGAATCAAACTGGACGGTGACAAATAGATTTTTCATGGTTTCAGATAGGTGGTGTAGTGGTAAGCGTGATTACCTCTCACCCCAGCAGGCCTAGGTTCAATCCCAGTCGGCGCCTGAGGCATAACATCTCTGATCACGCTTTCCTTCGGAAGGGAAGTAAAGCCGTTGGTCCCCGGTTCATGAGTTGATGGGTCGATAGGTAGGGTCCAGGTGTGGGAGCTGCCTTTCTGGCGTCGGTAGCATTGGTGCTTAGCACGGAAAACAAGATCGACGGAAAACAAATCAAGGGAAAAAAAATGGTTTCAGATGTTCATTCGTTGTCCGGTGGCCGCTATCTTGAAACTTGGTCTGCCATCTTAGATTTCAAAATGGTGACATGCATCGATTTTCCACTTCTGCTATTCCGTCCATTTCGTAGATATCCATATTGCATGGGTTTAAGAATTCGGATCCACCCTATTAAGCATTGCCAGGGAGAGACTTACCTCCCAGAACAAATAATCTAGAATGAGGAAGCCTGTACTAAGTTCTAGTGGACGGCAAAGGTCCACACCGTAAACTGTTTTTTTACAATGCAGTTATCGGCTGTTATCTTAGTCGTCTGAGCTATTTGAAAATGGGAAGATCTTGAGCTTTAGACTAGAATGCCTCAGGATCTGAAAATCAATACTGTCAACGGTAGGGAAAATTTAAATGTAATCCCGCACCATCACCACTCGTTGGTCACCCTCTTAAAACGCTAACCATCATGTTGCGGAGTAGCAGCGTGACACAGTTTTCCAAGTACATACGAGAGGTTTTAAATCAAATTGCTCCATTTCTTTCCCATGACCAATCGTGTGACCTTTCGAACATCATCTTTTCCTAACCGACAGTGTAGTTCTCATCAGCATTACAGTATTACTCAAAAACAACTTGTCCGTTCCGTTCCGTGTTCACATTCTTCAAGATTGTTCCGCATTTCGTTTCATTTCACCCATTACGATTAGACTAATCTTAATCTTACTCACTTCTTGATCACTTTTCGGTGCTTGTCGCGCTTCTTCTTGACACCACCCGGACCCGAAAACACACTCGTAAAGAATACATAAAATCTCACCCTTCTTTAACACGATTTCGATTTCAAAAACCACAGCAGCTGTATCTACTTGGAAGATGTCGTAACCAACCAATCAACCAACCGATCGTATTGCTAGCATGTATGCTTACTAATTACAGTTTTACGAGATGGATGGTGAAAGACGAGAGTAGTTCAGTTCTTTTCTTCTTTCCCACTCTTCAATTGACGTTGTTTGTTTTATTGCCTTCGATAGTCGAGTTTTTCACTTGCTGGATGGCCTCTCCCATTGTGCCTTGTACAGTGTTGTTGTGTGTAATGGGTTTGATAATTAGCATTCTATGAAGCGCGAGTTAAAAGCAGAAAGTGATTTTTTTTATTTTATTTTGATAAGAAAGCGATGGTGGGCGAGGGGATTGCGGTTTTGAACGCTTGTGTAGTCGAGGACGAAGTCGACGATCGTATTTATCACATGGAAACTATATACTTTGCATGCCGAAACTGCGTTCTTTGTGAGTATGGTTCGTTCTGATATATACCAGATGGCTTTTCGGTTTTTGCTTTGAACGAAAACAAGTGCAATTTTGCTTCTGATTCATTTAATAGTTTATTTAGTTAGCGAACAATTGCATATGATTCCATTCAAACTCGTTTAACGCAAACTTGACTTCCCTTGAGGCTGCGATCCTTGATGAAGCCGGCGTTGCACAGGCACATGTTCGGTCCCGAGCAGACTCCATTCGGGCATCCGTTGGGGCAGTGCGGGAGGCATCTGAGGAGGAAACATTTTCATTAAACCTTTACAAACACGGGAAGTTAGATGTTATACTTGAAGATATTAATATCATCCAGAAGGTATCCTCGATGGCAGGAGCACGTGTTCGGGCCGGTACAAAAGCCATTGAGGCAAGGTTTATCGCAAGTGGCGTCACATTTGTTCCCCGATGGTCCCATCTTGTAGCCTGGCTTGCAGGTGCACGTTTCCGGGGCGCTGCAGACACCGTTGAAGCATCCGCTGTGAAGAATAGGGGATGATTTGTTAGGAAAAGATTTCGAACGTTAGCTTCTTTGGGTCAATTGGTTCCCTATATAGATTTATGTAAATTAAGGTAATTTTACCCATTCTATGAAATTCTTCGCCGTGACATTTTACCTGGCTTTATTATTTTTTGTGCTGTTATTACCTTAAATTAAGTGGGTTAGAAGGAAAGGGTGTACAGGAATTTGATCCAGAGGTGGCAACAGTACATTTTTTGCAAAACCATCGTCCAGAGCAAAACAAAACAGCCAGCACACGGGTGGTCGTGTATTTTTACATTACAAGCAAACGGTGGAGATAAAGAATAGGAAAAATGTCGTAGCCCATAATTTTTTAAACAGTTGATTGAAATTACATTTTAGCTGCAAGCTTGCGTGTGACAGTTAATTATTAACTCCCCTATTTACGCATAATTTAACATCTAAGCTTATGAGTGGCTAGTATTCGTTCTTATTTTTATAATTCCATACAATAAACATCAAATAAATACTATAATTAGCCAGAAATCAGCAAAATTCTACATAACATAAATTTATGTCTGGTCTTGTCTGCTTCATTGTGCGCAATTTTTCTGTCGCCTGCAGAAAACATTTTAGAAATGTCATGACATTTTGTCTGCTTGCCAGTTTGTGTTTGTGCGTCTTCTCTATGGTCATTGCGCAAAGTATCAAATGTTAAGGAAAAAAACGTTAAACTCCAGTACTCGTGCCGCCACTGCTTTGATCGATTCTCTTTATCGACTTTCTCTTTTGATAGCCACAGCTTTATAAACAGATTTTGCGCTACTTCTGCCACATAGTTTGATAAAGGAGGTTCTCATCTAGCATCCAGAATGGCACACGAATCAAGGAATGTGTTTGCAGCTGAATTATTAAGGGGAGGTTTACTTGGATATTTCAAAAAAATGATTTTTTTTGCATAAAATGAAAGCTACAAGTGTGTAGAATATGTGGCCAAAAGGATTTTACGATCCGAAACATATTTAGCGAGTTATGGCGCTTTGAGTGAACCTTTGTCATGCACGCTGAGGGACGCTACAAAAACTTTAAACGCGTTTTTCTCGAAACCATATTTTTTATAACAACTTAGAGCATAGGGCTTGAACAAATGATCCGATTTACAATCGGAAAATTGCGCTTTGAAGGATACTATTTTTTGTATGGCTTATACCTAAAATGAAAAAAAATGTTAGTTACTATTTTTTAAGCAAGGTCAAAGTGAGAAAAAAAGGGGTAAAAACAGCACTAAATTTTCAAATGTCCATAATTTGGTCAATTTTTGTCGGATTTCGTTCTAGTTAGGTATAAGCCATAGGGAATATTATCAACTTTAACCACAATAAAAAATTTTCATTTCAGTTCACCAGAGGGTGTGCACTCGAAGTTCTGCAGCAAAACCTGACTGACACTCCTCCACGCGAGCCGCCATTTTGAGCCGGCATTTTGTTTTTTTACCTTCAAAAAATTTCCAAGTATTCAGGAATAGTGGACAAATATAATTATCGAAACCGGAAGTTCGTATGTCTTTTCATTCTCCTGAAAAAAAATTCCAAAGTTCAACTGTTTTTCAGCCAAATCCAAGTAAACCTCCCCTTAACGAAAGAGAAAGTCGATGAAGAGAATCGATCAAAGCCACTTACACCCCTCTCCTTCTAACCCCCTCAATTCAGGTTTACTTCAGAGAAAGCTTGAAAATTATGTTTGAAATTTTCTGAACAAATATCAAATCATTTTTAACTACCAAAAATTTCTATTAAACTAAAGTTAGAGCAGGAAAAAATGCTACTTTTAGGTCGCGTTGTCACCTTGCTCAGTGCACAGGATGGGAATCTTGCAAGAGAAAAGTCCTAGTGCTTTTGTCTTAAGTCCTACACACTGATACTCTAAGGAAGCCTTAGCGTGAAACTTCAAAGGCACAAATGTCAGCTTCCACAAAACATACAAATTTGAAATTGCAACTCTCTGTTTTTAGTAGCACAGCAAACAAGGAGTAGCAATTTCAAATTTGTATGTTTAGTGGAAGCTGACATTTGTGCCTTTAAAGTTTCACGCTAAGGCTTCCTTAGAGTATCACCTTAGCTTGGTAAAATCTCCAACAGCCGATTACCTCGGCATTTACTTTTGCTGATATATCTGCAAAATATCTGTTTGTTAGCTGATATCTCAGCAAAATGATATTTGTTAGCTGAGTCTCGGCAATTGTTTTAAAGAATCCAGCAAAATAAATTGCCGAACTACTGGGCTGTTGGAATCTCGGCGAAAAAAATTAAGTATGTAGAGGCAGGGATAGATCCACCTCACAGCAGGAAAAGATAAAAGTAAAATTCCAACTTCTCTTCTCTGCTTTTCTACTCTATGCTTCGACTTTCCTCTGTGCAACGGCAAATTGACTCTGTTTGAAATATCATAGCTCAGCCATTTATTGACGAATTTGAAATCTATTGATGTCATTTAAAACTGCATACTTCAAAGACTTATTCGGTATGAACAGATTTAAAATATATTGATAAATTTCTGACCTATGATTTTTCGAACAGTGTCAATTTCCCGTTACACTGTTCAGGACAACTGTTCAGATGGCCTCTCTTCAATGTGAAAAACACTGAGAAAACCACATATTGTTCCTCTTTGAGAAACTTGTTAGCTTGATTGAATCCGTTGAGCCGATAAGTCAAGAAATACAGGCTTCTTATTTGGTTTTTATCGCAGTGTTCCAGTAAGCGTCACTGAATTAACTGGTTATGTACTGGATCCCAGAGGCCGTGCTTCGAATCCCGGTTGAACCTTTTTGTTATTTATCTTTTGTTACTTTTCTTTAATTCACTATGTTTTCCCATCAACGCACTTCCCTGAATGTGTCCAAACGATTGTTTAGCCTTTCAGCTTCAATCTGATTATATTTGAACGATCGAGCAATCCAGTAATGCTACATTTTTCTTCAAATAAAGCATACGCACTACAGGTTGATTTCGAGTTGCCGATAATAGAACAGCTGGTTAACACGCAGTTCTAATGGGAAGGTTGCCGAAGAAAAAGAGACTGCCGACAATAGTCACACTCACCTGAGAAGTTTGGAGCGTTGTAAAAACGCTTTCAAAACGTTTTGAAAAATTCTGTCGATTGGAATGGATAGAGAAGCAAGCAGCAGATGAATGTAAACAAACAGACACATCATATATGTGCGTGACGCTGAGAAAATGCTAGTAGAAGTGCAGACGCTGCTTAGATTGATGAGAATACGTAAATTCCCCTAGTTATAATGGCAACCTTATGTCTTCGGTTACTTGTGTTCGGGGTTTTTTCGTCATGATCATCATTTCCTCCCATCATCATTTGTTTAGATCAGTCAGTCATTATCAGTAGCTCGAAGTGAATAAACCTAAACTAAATTAAATAAAAGATTTTTCTGGTGAAGTAAAAGGTGTGGAAGAACTCTTGTTTATTCAATTTTGTGCAATCCAAAAACTGCAAGTGTGTGTATCGCTCTGGTCGTCTTGTCAGTGACATTCGGAGTACTGGCATCTCTGCTATTCTGAAGTGCATCATATGCACTTTCTTCTCTGTGCGCACACTGGGCCGTGCTGTGGCCACAATTAGAAAAGTGAGACACAACGTAGGAGTAAGTTTGAACACTGGCTTTCTTATTTTTGAAGATAAAGACACATGTTCCTCGGAAAGTTTTAGCTGAAATGATTTCAACGTTCTCATTTAAAAACAACTTCAGGAACAACCTGAGTCAATTATGATAAAAATGCTCTAAAGAATTTTTGTTCTTATGCAAAGTATCTTGAAATCATTTCAGCTACAACTTGACCGAAAAACATGTGCCTATAATTTCAAAAATAAGAAAGTTAGTTTTTCAATATTAATCAATTTGAGGACCACAACTACTCTCTATGACACTTAGATCAAGCCTTGCAAAGCTGTAAAGAATTGATTTATTGCTTCTAATCAAAATGAGTTAAATTAAAAATAGTTTCATCTAAACTTAGGTTAAGGTGATAACTTAGATAAGGCGACTGAGCTGTTCCAGGCAAAATAGGGAAAACAAAAAATGAACTTTTGAATCGACTTTCTCCTATTTGTATGATTCTTTGCGTACTTTTTTTTATGATTGGTAGTGATTCACATTTTTCCTAAAATTCGGCCATTTTCGAAACTGTAAAAGTATTTTTTTTCCTCATGATCATTTGTGCTGGGCATGATCCGATTGCTCCTAAATCTGCCATGAGTAAAAATTTATCGCATGGAAATTCAAACACAAACCCACATATCATTCATAAATTATCTCACTTCTCTTCCCTATTAGGATAGCGGACTTGGTCAATTTTGCCGGAATTTAAATAAGTAAGAAAAGAGGCAGTTCAAGGCTAAAAAGCGGAAATGAATTTTTGAATCGATTTTCTCCGATTTACGTTATTGTTTGTTATGGGCAACGATTCTAAAATGCATTTTGGAATTCTAAAATGCACCATTTTGGATCTTGTTCTTTTCTAAAATGCACCATTTTGTTTTAAATGCGCCATTTTGGATCTTGTAGGTTTTTACAAAATGGCGTCTTTGAAAGTTTTCAAACCATTTTGGCATGGTAACGGTATTTCTGATCGAAATGACGTCCGAGACAAATTTGTAGAGGAAAATAATTTCCTTCTGGGGAAAATAAGCCAAAAATATGTTTTTTTTTATTTCAAGTAAAAATTAATAAAAAAAAGTCAAAACACAAATTTTTCAAAATGTTTTTGATCGATTTTTGATTTGATTTTCTAAAAAAAGCTTTTGAAAAATGCAAGCATTTGGAATATTTAGAACCATGGAAACATGAAATAGAACAAGAACTTTTGGTCAAGTTCTGGAACCTTTTTGTTAGAACGCTTTTTCGTGTAATTTTTATTTACTAAAAATGATTTAAAATAATTTAAATATCATTTTCTGAGCATAAATTTTATGAAAAAAAGTTTTAACAACAAGTTAATAAAA